GACAGATTGCAACGATCTATAAATTTATTTTTGTAGAACACTGTAAGCTGGAAAATAAATTGAGAAGAATAAAATAAGCTTTTGAGCCATGGTAAATGCAAGACACTTTACACATTGTCATAGTCTGTGTTGTGATAATAAAATAGCTGACACTGGGTAATTTATAAAGAACAGTGATTTGTTTCTTACAGTTTTGAAGGCTGGGATCTGCAAGGTTAAGGGAACTGTATCTAGCGAGGGCCTTCTTGATGCATCATAACATGCCAAAAGGCAGAAGAACAAGAGAGCACACATACAAGAGAGAGAGGAGATGGGTGGGCAAACTCATCCTTTTATCCGGAATTTACTTCTGGAACAAGTTACCCACTTCTGTGATAATGGCATTAATCCATTCATCAGGGCAGAGCCCTCTTGATCTAATCACCCTTTAAAGGTCCCATCTCTTAACAAGGTTGCATTGAGATTTAGTTTCCAACACATGAACTTTGGGAACACATTCAAACCATAGCATTCTGCTCTTGGCACCCTTAAATTCATGTCCTTCTTACATGCAAAATACATTCATTTCATCCCATTAGGCCTAAAGTCTTAGCTTGTTTCAACACTAACTCAAAGGTCCAGAATCTTATCTGAGTCAGATGTGTATGAAACTCAAGGCATGATTCATCCTGAGGCAAATTCCCCAGCAGCTATGAGCCTATGAAATTAAATAAGTTGTCTACTTCCAGAATGTTGGGTTAGGCATAGGATAAATATTCCCATTATAAAAGGGAGAAATAGGCAATAAGAAAGGAGTAACAGGCCCAAAGAAATCACTTCAAACCTGACAGGGAAAACAACAGTAAGTCTTAAAGCTGAAGAATAATCTTCTTTGACTCCATATCCCACATCAGGGGCACAGTAGGGTAGGAGTTGGGCTCTCAAGGCCTCAGGCAGCTTCAGGGCTTAGCCCACCCAGCAGCTCTCATGGTTTGTAGTCTCATGCCTATGACTTTCTCAGACTGGAGTTACATGCTGATGCCCCCCATAGTTTTATGGTCTCAGAGTGGGGAGCTGGGGGGTGATTGCCCCACTCCCATGACTTTACTAGGCATTGCCCTAGTGGGGACTCCGTGAATGCTGGCCTTACTCCTGTGGCTCCACTAGGCATAGTGGGGGCTTTCTGTGGTAGGCTTTCCTTGGTGGGTCTGCCTCTAGGATAAGTCTCTGCCTAGGCCCCAGGCTGTCCTCAACATCCTTTGAAACTTAGGCAGAAGTCACCATGGCTTCATACCTTTTGCATTCTGTGTGCCTGCAGAATTAGCACCACGTGGACACTGCCAAGATTTATTGCTTATACCTTCTGTAGCAGTGGGTTGAACTGCAGCTAGGCCCACTTGAGCCACAGCTCTGGTGGCTGAGAGGCATTATGCCAGAATTGAGGGAGCAGAGGTCCAAGGCGCTGCAGGGCAGCAAATGCTGAGGTCACACAAACACCTTTCTGGAAACCTTGCCCTTAAGGTCAAATCCTAGCTTGCTTAGATCTCTGAAATGTTTCTGGGGTCATTCTCTCATTGTTTTCATAAATAGAACCTGGCTTCTTTCTATACTAGTTTTTTTTTAGCAATCACTTGACAACTCCTTTACTGTTCTTTCCCGAACATACATTTTATGTGGCCAGGCTGAGTTTTCTTGATTTTTTTTTTTTTATTCTGCTTCTTTTAAAATTTTAAATGTCATCTTTAAAGTATTTCTCTCTTCTTTCATTTTACTGTAAATGGCTGAAAGAAGCTTTGTAACATCTTGAATGCTTTGCTGCTTAGATAGTTCTTCTACCAGATATCCCAGTTCATTCCTCTTAAGTTCTGCCTTCCACAATATCCTAGGCCATGGATGCAGTCCTCCCAAGTTCTTTGCAACTGTGTAACAAGGATGGCCATTACTCCAGTTTCCAAGATTTTGTTTCTCAGTTTCCCCTGAGTCCTCATTAGAATGGCCTTTATTGTCCACATTTCTACCAATGTTCTGATCATGACCACTTAAGTAATCGTTACAACATTCCAGACTTTCCCTACATTGCTTTCCGTTTTCTGAGCCTTCACTAGAATTCTCCTTAATGTTCTCTTCATTGCATTCTGGGCTTTTTCTAACCTGCTCCTCCAAATTCTTCCAACTTTTACGCATTCTCATTGTTCAATTCCTAAGCGGCTTATACATTTTCAGATATTTGTTATAGCAACAACCCCAGTCTTGGTACCAATTTTCTATCTTAGTTTGTTTTGTGCTGCTATAACAGAATATCTGAGACTGAATAATTTATGAACAACAGAGACTTATTTCTTACAGTTCTAGAGGCTGGAAGATAAAAGTTGAGTGACTCACATCTGGTAAGGGCCTTCTTGCTGTGTCTTACTTAACATGGTGGAAGGGCAAGATAGCATGCATGCATATGAGACAAAAAGGGAGCTGAACTCATCCTTCTGTCAAGAACCCACTCCCATGATGATAGCATTAATTCACTCACAGAGGCAGAGCCCGCATTACCTAACCTTCTCTTAAAGGTCCCACCTCTCAAGACTGTTGCATTGGAGATCAAGCTTCCAACACATGAACTTTGGGGGGCATTTTCAAACCGTAGCACATATATAATCTCACTTAATTCTCACAACACACTTGGGAAGTCAATGTTATCAGCATTTAAAAGATGAGAACAGCACTGGGTGTGGTGGCTCACACCTGTAATCCCAGCACTTTGGGAGGCCAAGGTGGGCGAATCATGAAGTCAGGCCTTCAAAACCAACCTGACTAACATGGTGAAACCCTGTCTCTACTAAAAATACAAAAATTATCCGGGCGTGGTAGTGTGTGCCTGCAATCCCAGCTACTCAGGAGACGGAGGCAGAAGAATCACTTGAACCGAGGAGGTGGAAGTTGCAGTGAACTGAGATTGCGCAACTGAACTCCAGCCTGGGCTTCAGAGAAAGACTCCATCTCAAAAACAAGAAATAAATAAAAATTTTAAAAAGATGAGAACAGCTAGAGTTTAGAGAAGTTAGGTAACTCTTGGGAAGGTTATGTGATTAGTGGTTGAACTATATTTCATGTGTCATGATATTGAATAGACAATATCCAAAACCAGAGAAGTAGAGTTTCAAGAAGGAAGGTAAGTCTTAGTTTATTTAGTGTTGCTATAATGGAATACCCGAGGCTGGGTAATTTATAAAGAAACAAGTTTATTTGGGTCACAATTCCAGTGACTGGAAAGTCCAAGAGCGTGGCATTGGCATCTACTTGGCTTCTGGTCAGGGCTTTCGTGATGCATCATAAGATGGAGGATGGTCAAAGAGGAAACAGACATATGCAGTGAGCAAAATGAGGGTCAGTCTTACTTTATAACAACCTGTTCTTGTGTGGAAACTAGTCCCTTTCTGTGTGAACTAATCAAGTTTTATTAAGGGGTTAACTCACTCATCATGGTAGGAATGGCACCAAACTTCTCGTGAGAGTGGCGCCTCTGTGACCCAAATGTTTTCCACTAGACCCCACCTATTAAATATTTTACTTTCCAGCATTGCCACACAAAGAATTAAGGTTCCAGTATGAGTGTTAGTAGGGAAAGGCAAACCATAGCAGAAGGGATGGTCAGCAGCATCAAATTTTGAGGTGAGATTGAGTAATCAAAATTAACAAAAGAACATTAGAATTTAGTTATACTCACTTTACATGTGAGATAGTTAAAGAAGACATATCAGGTAATATTTGCAGGTAGAACTGTTCTATTTTATTCTTTGAGGATAATATTTTACATAGTCAATATTTGCAGCTGTTCTATAAAGTTTAAATGTTCAATATTTGTTTGTTTGTTTCAGTTATATCAAGATTTCTTGATACAGAGCAGCTTCTTTCTGTTTTAGTCCAAATTCCAAAGCAAGACACGGTATGTTTTTGTGTACATTATATATATTATTATACATTATGTGATGGAACTTGTCTTAATGTAATGTAACAATTGGAAAACATCAAAATGTTTTGAGATAGTCCTTCATTATTGATATCTGGAGTATTTTATGCCATTGTAGAGGAAAACTTTTTTCCTAATATATTATCCTGTATGTTACAGTAAAATTTAAAATTTCAACCTGGCATGATGGCTCATGCCTATAATCCCAACACTCTGGGAGGCTAATGCAGGAGGTTCACTTGAGCCCAGCAGTTCAAGACAAGCCTGGGCAACAAGTGAGGCCCCATCTCTATTTAAAAAAAAAAAAAATCAAAAAATTAGATGGGCATGGTGTTGCACACTTGTAGTCTCAGATACTGGGGAGGCTGAGGTGGGAGGATAACATGAGCCTTGGAAAGGTCAATGCTGCAGTGAGCTGTGTTTGCACCACTGCACTCCAACCTGGGTGATATAGTGAGGCCCTGTCTCAAAAAAAAAATTTTTTTTTCTAGATAGTTAAGGAGTTGGCCTATTTTCATTGATCAAATATTAAGGAGTTATATATAATTTTCAAAAGATGTAGACTGTAATAATGTTTGCCTAGTAACTAACTAAAATATGTTAGAGCTAAAGAATATAGATTCTTCTTAAAAGTGACCATTATGTGAAGTTTGATTAGTCTTCAAATATTATTATTATTATTACTGAGATGGAGTTTTGGTTTGTCATTGAGGCTGGAGTGCAGTGGTGTGATTTTGGCTCACTGCAATACCTGCCTCCCAGGTTCAAGCGATTCTCTTGCCTCAGCCTCCCATGTAGCTGGGATTACAGGCATGCACCACTATGCCTGGCTAATTTTTGTATTTTTAGTAGAGATAGGGTTTCACCATGTTGGCCAGGCTGGTCTCAAACTCCTAACCTCAAGTGATCCACCTACTTCAGCCTCCCAAAGTACTGGGATTACGGGTGTGAGCCACCACACTTGGCCAAGTCTTCAAATATTCTTGATTTTTAAGAATGAAATAATATCTTTTCTGGATACTTTTCAAATTTAAATAGTGCTTATGGGTACATTCTATAAAGAAAGTAATAGCTTTCATTATTCTGTTTAAGGTGAGCTGAAGAATATTTACTATAATGCAATGCAGTTATATTTTTGTCCATATGCTTAAAAAGAAAAGAAGTCTTGAACATCAATGAAATTTAATTTACAATTTGATGACATTTGTAAGTCCATTGAAAGCTTATCTATATTTGAGAAGCCTTTTCGTATCATAAAGAAAATACTCTTCAGGTTCATTTATAATGAAAGCATCACTAGATTGAAAAGCTTTGGCTATTGGGCAGGCACAGAACTAGGTTTCCTTAAATAATTTAAGCTGCTTATAATTCAGTATATACAAATGGGAAGTAACCTAAAGCAACTGATGTTTGGAATTAAATTAGTAGCCCTCATAAAATAAGTTTGGAAGTATCCCTTTCTCTTTAATTTTCTGGTAGAGTTTACATAGACTGGTATTATTTCTTCCTTACATATTCGGTAGAATTCACAAATGAAGCCATTAGATTCTGGAATATTTTTTGGTAGGAAGGTTTTTAACTATGAATTTAACTTATTAAATAGGTATAGTGCTCTTCAGGTTAACTGTTTCTTCTTGAAAAAGCTTTGGTAGCTTGTGTCTTTTAAAGAATTTTTCATTTCACCCAACTTTTCAATTTATCAGCATAAATTATCTCATAATATCCTTCTTGTATCTGTAAAATTGGTAGTGATATGCTGTCTTATTCCTGATATTAATAACTTTAATATGTTCTCTGTTTTTCTTAATCAGCCTGGCTAGAGGTTATCGTTTTTATTGGTATTCTCAAGGAAACAGCTTTCTATTTCATTGTTTTATCTTTTTTTCTCCTGTTCTCTATTTCACTGATTTCTGGTTTTATCACTCTTCTGCTTAGCTGTGCCTACTCTCCTTTTTTGACATTGTAAAGGAGGAAGCTGAGGTCATTGATTTGAGACCTTTTTTCCTTTCTAATATAAGCATTTCAGCACTGTAAATTTCTCTCTGAGTAATACTTTAGCTGTATTCCACAATTTTAGGTACATTGTGATTTCTTTTTCATTTGAAAAGGTCAAAATACTTTCTAATTTCTTTTTGAAAATTCTTTGATGTTTGGATTTTTAGGGGTATGTTAATTTATTTCCAATATTTGGGGACCTTCCAGATTATCTTTTTGTTATTGGTTTCTAACTTAATTCCCCAATGGTCAGAGAACATGTATTATGTAATTTAGATCCTTTTAACTTTATTGACTTTGTTTTTATGGCCCAAAATAGAGTTAATCTTGGCAAATGTTCCATGTGAACTTGAAAGCATGTGTATTTTACTGTTGTTGGTTGGAGCATTCCATAAATGTTTATTTGTTCAAGTTGTGTGGTAGTGTTCTTCAAATCTCATCTATCCTTATTGTGTTTTACTGTTTTTGTTGTTGTTCTATTTGTTCTACCAGTCATTGAGAGAGTAGTGTCAAAATCTCCAAATGTAATTATGGATTTGTTTCTTTTTCCTTGTAGTTTTATCAGTTTTTATCTAATGTATTTGGGATCTCTGTTATTAGGTACATAAACATTTAAGATTGCCATGTCCTCTATAAATTGACCCTGTTATCATTATGAAATGACCCTTTTTATTCCTAGTAATATTTTTTGCTATGCAATCTACTGGGTCTAATATTAATATAGCTGCTCCAGCTTTCTTTTGGTTAGTTTTAGCGTGGCGTATCTTTACCATCCATTTGTTTTTAACTTTTTTTTCTTTATACTTACAGAAGATTTTTTGTAGGTGATATATATTAGGTGTTAACTTTTTGTATACAATCAGAGAATACCTTACTTTTAATTGTGGTATTTATTACATTTACACTTAATAAGATTATTCATATGTTTTCATTTAAATCTGCTATCTTGGTTTTTTTTTTTCATTTTTCTCATCTGTTTTCTCCCTTTTTTTCTTTTCTTCTGCTTTCTTTTGTATGTTTTTTTATGATTCCATCTCATTTCCTTTGTTGGCTTATTAGATAGAAGTCATTGCCTTTATTAGCTTAATTATTGACTTAGGGTTTATAGAATACATCTTTAGCTGAATTTAGTTCGCTTTTATTTATTTTTTATTTTATTATTTTTTTTGAGAGAGTCTTGCTCTGTTGCCCAGGCTGAAGTGCAGTGATGCCATCTCAGCTCACTTTCACCTTTGTCTCCTGGCTTCAAGTGATTCTTGTACCTCAGCCTCCTGAGTAGCTTGGACAACAGACATGCCACCATGCCCTGCTAACTTCTGTATTTTTAGTGAAGTCAGGGTTTTGCCACATTGACCAGGCTGATCTCAAACTCCTGACCTCAAGTGATCCACCTGGCTTGGCCTCCCAAAGTATTCGGATTATAGGTGTGAACCATTTTTGATCAGAGACTAGGATTGCAACCCCTGCCTTTTTTTTTCCATTTGCTTAGTAAATCTCCCTCCATCCCTTTATTTTGAGTCTGTGTATGTCTTTGCATGTAAGATGGGTCTCCTGAATACAGCACACCGATGGGTCTTGATTTCTTCTAATTTGCCAGTCTGTGTCTTTTAATTGGGGTATTTAGCCCATTTGCATTTAAGGTTAATATTGTTATGTGTGAATTTGATCCTGCCATTTTGATAGTAGCTGGTTGTTTTGCCTGTTAGTTGATGCAGTGCCTTCATAGTGTCGATGGTCTTTACAATTTTATATGTTTTTGTAGTGGCTGGTACTGGTTTTTCCTTTCCATGTTTAGTGCTTCCTTCAGAAGCTCTTGTAAGGCAGGCCTGGTAGTGACAAAATCTCTCAGCAGTTGCTTGTCTATAAAGGAGTTTATTTCTCCTTCACTTATGAAGCTTAGTTTGGCTGGATATGAAATTCTGGGTTGAAAATTCTTTTCTTTAAAAATGTTGAATATTGGCCCCTACTTTCTTCTGGCTTGTAAGGTTTCTGCCAAGAGATCCACTGTGAGTCTGTTGGGCTTCCTTTTGTGAGTAACCCAATCTCTCTGGCTGCCTTAGCATTTTTTCCTTCATTTCAACCCTAGTGAATCTGATGATTATGTGTCTTGGGGTTGCTCTCCTTGAGGAGTATCTTTGTGGTGTTCTCTGTATTTCTGGAATTTGAATGTTGGTTTGCCTTGCTAGGTTGGGGAAGTTCTCCTAGATAATATCCCAAAGAGTGTTTTCCAACTTGGTTTCATTCTCCTCATCACTTTCAGGTACACTGATATCAAATGTAGATTTGGTCTTTCCCATAATCTCATATTTCTTGGAGGCTTTGTTCATTTATTTTCACTCTTTTTTCCCTAATCTGGTCTTCTCACTTTATTTCATTGAGTTGATCTTCAATCTCTGATATCCTTTCTTCCGCTTGCTCAATTCGGCTATTGAAACTTATGTATGCTTCCCGAAGTTCTTGTGCTATGTTTTTCAGCTTCATCAGGTTGTTTCTGTTCTTCTCTACCCTGGTTATTCTAGTTATCATTTCATCTAACCTTTTTTCAAGGTTCCTAGCTTTTGTGCATTGGGACAAAAATGCTTTCTTCTGAAGCCTACTTCTGTCAATTTGTCAAACTAATTCTTCATCCAGTTTTGTTCCCTTGCTGGTGAGGAGTTGTGATCCTTTAGAGGAGAAGAGGCATTCTCGTTTTTGGAATTTTTGGCCTTTTTGCACTGGTTTCTTCCCATCTTCATGGATTTATCTACCTTTGGTATTTGAAGTTGGCGACCTTTGGATGGGGTCTCTGAGTGGATGTCCTTTCTATTGATGTTGAAACTATTTCTTTCTGTTTGTTAGTTTTCCTTCTAACAGTCAGGCCCCTCTGCTGCAGGTTTGCTGAAGTTTGCTGGAGGTTCACTACAGACCCTGCTTGCCTGGGAATCACCAGCAAAACAGCAAATATTGCTGCCTGCTCCTTCCTCTGGTAGCTTCATCCCAGA